TCATTAGATTTCCCTCATATAAATTCTAATCATCTGTTAATGATACTAACTTTGCATCATACTTTCCAGGCATGATCTCTTTGATCCATTCTGTTCCTTTCTACTTTCCTATATTGTGTCTTCATCAAAATATTGATTAGAGTTGAGCACAGTGGTGCACGCCTATAATACCAATGCCTGAGGAGGTTGAGGCAGGAGGATCACAAGTTCAAAGCTAGCCTCAGCAACTTCAGGAAGTTCTGAGCAACTTCGTGACAGTGTGTCTCAAAAAAAAAAATAACATTTAAAGGGCTGGGGACATGGCTCAGTGCTTAAGCACCTCTGGGTTCAATCTCTGATATTAACAATGTACAAATATGTACAAAAAAATTGTAAATACATATAGAGGGGGGCACTACAAATGGTGATAACAGATATCCTTGTCTTCAACCCAATTTTAATGTAAAACTCTCAATGTTTCCATTTAACCATTTAAGTATAATATTGTGTTTTATACATATTATTTATCTAATTTGACAATATATCTTCTTTTCATGAATAAACATTAATTTATGTGATTTTTTTTTCATTTTTCTGACAATCTGCTATTCCCTTCTGTAATGTAACTGAAATTTATCATAGTAATTAACTGAAAAGTAGGTCTCTAATGCACTGGAATTGATTTCTGTGTCATGTGTAAGGAAAGTTTTAAGTAATATTTTGTTTATAATATGGATATCAAATTATTCCATTGTCATTTCTTAGTAAAAGACTATTCTTTCCTCCAGTTCTCTGCAGTAGTATATTTAAATTAGTCAGGAACCAACGTACATGGTCTGTTTTGGAATATTTTATTATGCTTTTATTTTGACTATGTCTTCATCTTTTACCACAAACTCCTATGTATTATAACATCTCTTTATATACTTCAAAGAGTATGTTGGCTATTCTTAGCTATTTGTGAGTTAATTTCTATTTTTAAATTATTTGATAAAATTTACACACACACATTTGCAAAAACAAAAATCCTATATAATGTTATGGAAGGGATGAAAGTCATCAGCAGATTAAATTAATAACTAATGTTTCTCCAAGTAATTAGAACATTAATATTTTCTCTACATAGTAGATGTACAAATCTTCTATAGAGTTCTTATGCTTTTTCTATTTATTTTTAGATATAAGACATATAATGGTAATTTAGAAGTTATTTTTATTCAATTTCATCTTCATACTCTACATTGCTACAGAAAATAGTGCATGTTTGTATGCTCTTATAACCTGGCAACTTTTAAAAATGCTTTCATTATTTAAATAGTTTTTTTAGCAGATTTTTCAAATATATAGTCAATTCATGTTTAATGATAACAGCATTTTTTAAATTTTCCAGTTACTATCTCTTTAATTACCTTTGTTTTCTATTACTTTCTTATCTTCCTTAAAATGGAGTATAAAAATGGTAATAGAAGACATCTTTACCTGCTTCCCAATTTTAATGTAAATGTTTTCAGTGTTTCAATGTAAAGTATGATTTTTCACTCTAGGCTTATTTTGTAGACATCCTCGATCTAGTTTAAGAAAGTACCTTTTATCATAAATTAATATTATTACTTTTTACAAAATATTTATTTTTTAGTTGTAGTTGGACACAATACCTTTATTTTACTTATTTATTTTCATGTGGGGCTGAGGAATGAACCCAGGACCTCACCTGTGCTAGGTAAGCACTCTACCACTGAGCCACAACCCCAGCCCCTAATATTATTACTTTTATGAATCACTATTCTCTATCGATTTTTGAATGGTTCTTCTCATTTAATCTGTTCATGTGCTACGCCAGACCTAGACCTATCTTCAGATCCATTCTTCAATCTTGCTCTGTTCAGTTCTCTACTCTGTAGAGGATCTGATTCTCAATTCATAGAATCTCCACTCTGTAAAGGATCTGATTCTCAATTCATAGAATCTCCACATCCTGTTTTACAACAGGAGGCACAAGTTGGAGATTAGAGTCCATAGGGCCAAAAATGTTGTCATTTTTTTCAAATTATAAGAAAAAATTATGCAACATGTAGCTTAATAATATATTAATCAAAAAGATATAAACAGAAATAAAAATTATGTTCAATATTACTGTATAAAATATAGATGCAGAAAAGACTTGAATATAACATAAATATATATTTTAACCTCAACATGACCAAGTAATGCATAAAGAAAGATTTCTACCTATAGTAAAATTTCAGGTAATAAACTAAGAAGGAATGATGGAATGAGAAAATTATGATTATAGAGCCTCTAATAGATAATGGATGCAGACCACAATCTTTAATACAGCTAGTATCACCAAAAACACAAAAGCCTTACTGATACAAAATGTAAATATTAAGAACCATCTCTGGAAGGGTTTTGCCAAATAATGAACCAAGTCTTCCTCTGAACAAACTGCTACACAAAACTATTGATAGGGGCTGGGGTTGTGGCACAGTGGCAGAGCACTGGCTTCGCACATATGTGGCACTGAGTTCGATCCTAAGAACCACATAAAAATAAATAAACAAAATAAAGATATTTAAAAAAACTATTGATAGTATGTGGAGCAGAAGGTATATTGAGTTCATTGTACTGTTCTGTGATACTACTTGTGTTTGAGAATTTGTAAAATAAATGATGTAGCTAGAAATATTGGACCTTTTAATTTGAAAATATAAGTAAAATGGATCAATTTTAGCAAAATATAAGTAACCAAATAGGATCATAAAAATAGAAAATAGTCAAACAACACAAACTGAAAATTTACTTACATATCAAACCATACTCAAAAGTTTTAGTTTTGAAGAACAACTAAACTATATATTCAGGGAAAAAGCAATAAGTATCTTATAAAAATTCATTCAAAAGACCAAAAAAAGATTTGAAACTACTCAAAATATTTTATAAGATGACATTTATTGATGGAAAAACTGGGTAAAGGTACTCTAAGAAAAGAACATTTGAGATGAGGCTACTCAATTAGGGAAATATTACAAGTATATTCATAGTACATTAAATACTAAAGTAAAGTAAATTAATAAATAGGCTTGGTAAATGAAGGAAAAGAAGATATCTAATTGCAATTAAAACATAACAGACAAGAGGACAAACTCATAATATCCAGAGGTATAAGATAGACTGAACGAAAAAATCAACAATATTTCATGGTTAAAACTTACAGAAATTCAACTATAGAATGACATAAATGCTTCTCAAATACTACATGTCAACTGAAAAAAATGAGTAAAATAATAAATTAAAATTTTATAAATGTGAAATGTCAGAATTGCCACTACAGTAAGACAGAACACAAACAAAATGATGTATACTACCACCTCCATTTTTCAGTATGCCACTTCTGCCTCCTAGGAAATCTTCACTAATTTATTTACTGCAACCGCTGTATACCTTACACTGGCAATCTTCCACAGTCTTGATGTCAAATGGTGAAGATGCAGCAGAAGAAAGGCAAGGCTAAGGAAAGGAAGTACACTTTCACACACAAAAAAATAGTTTCTCTATTCTATCTCTTCATCATTTATACCTATTCTCTTTATGTTTTGTTTAGGATACTGAGGGTTAAACACAAAGAGAATAGGTATAAATGATGTAGAGATAGAACTACATAGCAAGATCTATTCATTTTTATTTTGAGAAAGGGTTTCAATGGGCCAGGGACATAGCTTAATTGATAGAGTGCTTGCCTTGCATGCACAAAGCCCTGGGTTCAATCCCCAGCATGACCAAAAAAAAAAAAAAAAGTGAGAAAGAGTAAGGGTTTCACTAAATTGCCCTGGGTGGGCTCAAACTCAAGATGCTCCCACCTCAGCTTCCCAAGTAACTGGGAATATAGGCATATGACACCCATCCCCACCAGATGTTAACTTTTGTTTTGTATAGGGGATTAAATCCAGGGGCACTTAACCACTGAGCTACATGCCCAGTCCTTTATATATATATATATATATTTAATTTTGTGACAGGGTCTGGTTAACCTACTCAGAGCCTAAGTTGTAGAGACTGGCTTTCAATTTTCAAACCTCCTGCATCAGCCTACCTAGCCATTGGCATCACAGGTATGTTCCACCACACCTGGCCAGACCTTACCTCTTACACAACTTCCACTGTTAAAAATTTACTTTTTTCAAGTTGGAAGCAGTGATGCACCTCTGTAATTCCAGTAATTCCAGATTCAAGGCAGGAGGATCACAAGTATGAGGTCAGTCTGGGAAACTGAGCAAGACTATGTGGCAAAATTAAAAAATAAATAAATAAATGGCTGGAGACTTACCTGAGAGGTAAAAAAAAAAAAAATGGGTTCATTTGCTAATAACATGAAAAACAAAAATAAATTTACTTTCAAATTATAAGAGGAACATACTTATGATTTTGAGAGGTGTGATCTATTGTGATTATCTAACATAATATATAGTCTCACATTTTCAACATATATTATCCTTCTTCATTTGTCATTCATCTAATTCAATTTATTATTCTTATGAACGTGCTATTGTGTTTGTTTGTTTTTTCTGAGAAACTGCATCACCTGTCCTGGTCCCTCCCTTCCCGATCGATCACACATCAAGGCTGGGACAGATCCTCAATACAAGGTCTACAAGGGCTATAATAAATAAATTAGTCAAGATTCAGAGGAGCTGGGGGTGGCATTTCTAGGAAGCCCAGAATCAAATTGAAGTCCCTATCAATGACGACTAAAAAATAACGGAGCTGAAAAAACAGTATCATAAAGCCTTGACAGTACCTCCTCTTAGCCTGTTGACACATGAAAGGCCACAGGGTTCTGAAGGATGAGGACCTTGGCATGAAGGGCACAGCTCACCTCAGCAGACACAGAACTCCCAGGACCTGGCAGAGTCAGCCACAGCAAGAAGCAACCTCAAACCCTATGGAGGATGCCATGCGCATGCTCAGAGCTTCACCCCTGCTGTGGGCCATGGGAGACCCCAGGCATGAGGGGGTGATGTGTACAGAAAGCCGGATGTGACATCAGCTTGCTTCCTCTTCCCTCAGCCGCACGCTCTGAGGAACTCCTCAGGTGGTGAGTCCTGTGGCAGGTGGCTTCCAGTCAGAAGAGGGAAACAGAGGTGGTCCCAGGTGCTGCTGGGTGTGAAGGCAAGATTAAATAATGGCCGAAGGGACCCCGTGGTACAAAACAGAGAGATGCTGAGGGATCGGAGTCCAGCTCCAGCGTTGAGTGGGGGGAGGCCGTGGTCAGGGCAGTCAGTTGAACCTATGCCATGCTTCCTCCCGGGTGGTCTGAGGCAAAGGCCTAGTTTAGTAGGGGTATGTATCTCCAGGCATGCAATTACATAAGACCCCATGAGTGAGAACTGAGGGGATTGACCTGCAGCAGAACAATGGTGGACCCACAATGCATCAGGCTTGGGAGGCGGGGGGAGGGGGGCAGTGGTGTGAGGGAAGGATATGGTAAGGGGGTGACAGGAAGTTGGAGGGGTGGACGGAAGTGGGGGCAGCAGCGGGGGAACAAAGTACAAGTGGGGCCAAGTGACTTCGCCTCCAGAGTATGAGGAAGGTGGGGTATTAGTCTGACATAGGCAGTGTCACCTCAGCTGAAAAAGGGCTCTTGTGCCTCAAGGGAGTCCAGGTGAAGATACTGGGTATATTCGTATATATTACTTTCAACTCCAGTGTGACCTGTAGATGAGCCGTCACTGTGGGGGAGGGGACAGCATTGGGAAGTAATTAGTAGTGCAGTGGTTGGGGATGAGGTAGCCAAGACAAGGATATCTTGAGAGAAGAGTAGGACTCACGAAGAGCCCAGCCCTGTTCTTGTCAGTCACCAGATCCAAGAACAACATTTTTATTTATTTATTTTTTAATATTTATTTTTTAGCTGTAGTGAGACCCACTATCTTTATTTTTTTATTTGTATGTGGTACTGAGGATTGAACCCAGGGCCTCACACATGCTAGGCCAGTGCTCTACCATGAAGACACAATGCCAGCCCAAGAACAACACTTTTAGACAAAGGTGATACTTTACCTCCTCCTGGAGGAGAATTAGAGGCTTCGATGTGATGAGTAACATCTAGTAAAAATAGATGGTACCTGAGGACATGGGTGGATTCAAAGAAAGGCATCTGAGAACTCAGGAGACCACCCACACCTGTCCACAGAATTTAGCCCCTGCTGTCAGCTATGGGAACATTCATTTGGGGGTTCTTGGGGACATACCTCCACTCCTTTTCAATTGACTTAAGAGGTATGACTTTGGTCTTAGAAGGGCAGGCTCAGACCATCAGAGAGGAGGTGGCATGAGCCTTATAGGATTTCAAATTTATGGATTTTACTGTCCTGTGTAACTAAAAGGTACCAGTAAAATAAAATAAAAAAATTGTGGCCATTAACGAGTGGCACTATGTTCAAACAGAATGGGTTCTATAGAGCTTAACTGAAACTGTCTACCAGAACCCTGAGGATTCTCTAGCTTTCCCCCCACCAGGAGGAGTCCCACTTCCACCTTCAGGTTCTTGATGGACCCAGATACCATGACAGGCTTGTGGGTCTTCACAGCACCATTCATAGGAAAATCCACTCTCATTGCATTCCATCAGAGCCAGTTCAGTCCAGTTTATCTGCTGACACTGATACCTTTCTCTATCCCTTAGGCTGTGATTCTCCATTGCACACTCATCCTTCTGTACTTCTGCCTACTGCCAATCACAGGAGTCGTCATGCCTGGGCATCAGAAGAGTCAAGAAGGCACCCATGGTGAAGACCTTCTGATCCTCAATGAGATCCAGGGCCCAGAGGTTGCACAGGTGTCAGGGGCTGTGGAGGCGCCCTCTACCTCCTCCTCCCAGCTTCTGATGCCTGGCAACCTGAGTGAGGCTCCTGGTGCTCTAACATCCAGCACACCCAGCACTCCTGAGGATCTTCAGAATTCCTGCTCCTCTCCTGTTGCCGTTATGGCCCCCTCTTTGATCCAGTCCAGTGAAGGCTCTGGTAGCAAAGAAGAGGAGAGTGTTCCAAACACCTCAGCGATGGTGGCAGACCCCGAGCATGTGCCCAAAAGTGCTCTGGATGAGAAAGTGGCTTTCTTGGTGAATTTCCTGCTGCTCAAGTATCAAATGAAAGAGCCAGCCCGAAAGGCAGATATGTTGAAGTTCATCATGGAAGATGATGAGGTCCGCTTCTGTGAGATCCTCCTGCGGGCCTCTGAGCGCCTGGAGATGGTCTTTGGCCTTGATGTGAAGGAAATGGATCCCATCAACCAGTGCTATGGCCTCTCCATCAAGCTGGGCCTCACCTACGATGGGATGCTTAGTGATGAAGAGAATATACCCAAGACCGGGCTCCTGATACTCATGCTGGGTGTGATCTTCATGAAGGGTAACCGTGCCACTGAAGAGGAGATCTGGGATGTGCTGAAAATGACCGGGATCCATCGTGATCAGAAGCACTTCATCTTCGGGGATGCAAGGCAGCTCATCGCCCATGATTTTGTGAATGAAAAGTACCTGGAGTACCACCAGGTGGCCAACAGTGATCCAGTGCAGTATGAGTTCCAGTGGGGCCCAAGAGCCCATGCAGAAACCAGCAAGATGAAAGTCCTCGAGTTTTTGGCCAAGGTTCATGGAACCAACCCACGTGATTTCTCAGCTCAGTATGAGGAAGCTCTGCTAGAAGAAGAGGAGAGAGCACTGGCCAGAATTTCAATTGAGTCTGCCTCCAGTTCCTTGGCCACTGCCAGTTCCAGTGCCATGGGTGGCAGTTCCTCCAGCATCTAGTAAAGTCAGAAATAGCTCCTTCATGTAGTGTTCAAGGCCAGTGTTTAGTGCTGAAAGAGTGTATGGCTCCAGGGAAAACGTAGGCCTGAAGGGAAAAGACTATATCATCCCTGTGTTCCTATTTTGTGTGCATAAATTGATAATTCATTCTTTTATTTTTTGATGTTTTTATCATTCAAATGTTGTTTAATAATGCTTCACTTTGAAATCTCTTAAGTTGCAAATGACATTGGTCATACATTTAATGCAGTTTTACGTGATTGAGTACTATGTCCTTTGACACCTTTTAAAACATACTTGGAAACCATACATTTATTTTGTGATCTGAAGCATAACATGGATAAGGTGCATTTCTCTAAAATTTCTTTGGTAATTTGAAAGAACTCGGGTTTCATATAGTTTTTATCAATTGTAAGAAATAAATTTTAAGATTCAATGTTGGCTTATTTCTTTTAGTCTCTTTTTGTGTAAACTGTAATGGCTTATACATGTATTGCTTAGCCCTTTCTAGGGTATAATGGAAATAAATCTAAATAAAATTAGTACCATGCTCACTGGTTCATTTATTACAAAACCTGAACTGAAAACCTGCTGTTTGGAAAGTACTGCAGTCATAATGGTGATGCTAAGATTAAAAGGACTCAGGATGTCCCCATAGAATTTTAGTATAAGAACAATAATATCATAGGAATGATGACAGGATCTTGTATTCCTTAGAGGACAAGTAAAAATAAGACATGAGTAAGTTGTGAGCAGTTCACATGAGTTTTTCAGTTAAAGGTTTTCCTTGAATGAAGAAATGCAGGTTAGATCAAAGGTCTTGTGTCAGTAAGGGGAACAATTTGGACTCCTACATTTGAATTATATCCAACCGCTGAAGTCACCAGATACATGTAAATCAAATACCAAAGAGAAATATTTTATGAATTTTTACTTGCTGAGGAACACTTGTCTCTGAGTGTGGAAGGATATGGGGTCAACATAATCAAGGCAAGTATTGCTGTACATAAAGTCCTAAGATACTCTGGGCATTTTTCCATGTGCTTCATATATTTATATACATTGCAGTAATCCTAGAGTATAGGACTTACCAAACCAAATTCACCTACAAAGACATTCAGGCCCAGAGGGCTTGTGATTGTGCCCAATTTCATATATTTGGTATATGATCACTGGGCCTAGACCTCTGAATTATCTAGGGCTTACTCTTTCATACTTTCCACCTAGAGTCAAACCTCTATCTCTTAATTTATTTCTCTTCTCATTACACTTTAATGACTCTTCAACTATAGAAAGAAGCATATTTTAGCCAATTAACTTAAATCAGGCTTTAAGGAGGAAGTTTGAAATAAGATTCAAACACAATTCAAGGGGTGTCTGAAAACTTCATTTACCTACAGTTCTTCTAGGGTTCCTTGAAAAATAACTCTGCCCAGGGTGTCTAGACCAGTTAACACTTTTCTCCTGGGGCTTCTCACACAGTGTGCCCCCTTGACAAACTGGAACCTAACATGTAGACCTTCGAAGCTTCATCTTCTGAAGACAGTATCCTGTTCTCAGTAAAACAAGCAGTGCATAATCACCAGTCCTCCCCCTAACTTAGAACATTCCAACCCCTGGGCAGCCCGACTCTCCATGCTACCACTCCTCTGATAGCAACATCCTATTCCAGGTGGAAGGTAAACTTGATGGTGAAATTTAAGCCAGGCCACTCTCCTGGGATTCTCTACTACATCCTAAAAATATTTTCCCAGAAAGCTGGTAAGTACAGCCTCCTTTATACTAATATCTATTATTTGGGGGTGAGAGGGGAGTATGACCCTGAAGTCAGAGAGGGTGAAAAAAAGCTACAGTGATATTTGCAGAGGGATTTTCATGAACTGTTACACTTGAAACTGGCCACTGATCACACAAACAGAAATGAGCTTATCAGTGCAATTAAACACAGTACATAAACTAAGTATTTTATTCAAGTCATCTCCAGGAAGTTTCCAAGAAATCAGGATGTTAGTCTCTTGAGATTGGTTACTTAGAATCCAGTAGGGTTGGTTTATTCTGCCATGGCCAAGAAATGTCAGTGCTCACTTCATTCAAAGGAAAATTTAAATAGATTATCTTGACAGTAATTTAGCAAACAATAAGCAAGGGCCGAACTTTTGGTGGAGGTTTAATCAATGAAAAAGTGGGTTTGAATTAACCAGTGTGGTTATTAACTAAGCTTCTCTCATCAGTGATAGAAGAGGAAAGACCAAAAACCTTAGGAATCACTGTATAACAAATATCATGAGGATGTATTCCTAAAATTCCTGGAGTCCTTCCAGGAGTTGAAAAATATTTTATTAGCAGACATGCAATCATTGGATAGCAAAAATAAAAATTATTCAACATCCTTCCACTGCCTTTAGTCTTAGGATTTTTTCCTGGGGCAAGCACTGTTTTTTTCCTACTTTTTCTATTGGCACTTGTACAACTTTTTGGTTATATTCATTTTGAAGGTAGTAGAAATTCAGAGATTTTGACCATGTTTCTATAGGAAGATGGAAATTTTCATTCTATTAAGATTTTAGATTTTATTGCATAGGTAAGGCAAAAAGAAAATATTGAATCAAGAAGGCAAAATCTCAGTACTTGGAGTCCTTTTGAAAACTTGTTATGAAACTGTCTGGAGCTGTCTGTGTAACATAGTAGGATACAACATAATAGAATCTTAAAAAATGTCAGAGAATTTCAAGGAAATTTGACTGTGCCAGGAAACAAAGAGGGTGATTGCTATAAAAATTCTAACAACTGCTATCCATTGAGCACCTACTATGTAACAATATTTGGGAAAGACTAAATGTTCACCTGTACCTTATCTTCCTCTCCTTCTTGGGCTTATGGCAAGACTAAGTTCCAAGGGTACCTATAGTTATAAAGGATCACTTGACTACCCCCTTGACATTGATTTGTGAGTCAAAACAATCTCTCTCATTTCCAAGATATCAAGCCAAGATATTTGATGTCCAGTTTGCCACCTACCATGCTTTGTTTGAATTCCACAGCACACATGGAGATCATGTGTTTATAAGATAGAGATTCAAGAAGCAGCCTGGACTCCTGCATTACCTGTTATCACAGAATATCTGCCAATCCATGTATCCTATATTTAGTTATTTCACACAGGTGGGAAATCCAGTCCTTGTTACTCCATTTCATTAAAAGTAGAAATTGTATAATTCATAAGTAAATCTAAATTATTAGAGCATGAAAATATCCCAAAAGAATAAGTCAACATTTCAAATGCATTAAAATTAAAATTAGGATGGGAAGACTGTGGAAAACACAGCAATACTTATACATATATAATTTTGTCCTCTGAGAATTTTTGGTAAATGGAATTATACAGTAAATATGGTTTATTTCTCTAATTTACTTTTTTTTCATTCAGCACAATGTATTAGAGACTAACTCAATTGTTGCATAGACCATTTTTATATACTTTTCTATTATGGCAAGGTGTTTTTATATGAACCATAGTCTTTTATTCATTCACTAATTGAAGCACATTTGGTTTTATTCCAGCTTTTTTATTTTTTATTTTTTGGCCTTTACAAATAAAGTATCTATGAATACACATATGCAGTTTTTTGTGTGTGACCATGATGTTGTTCCTTCTCTAGAAAAATATTCAGTAGTGACCTATGAAAAATAAGTGCATTTTCACTTTACTGGAAACTTGCAAATGATTTTTCAGAGGACCTAGGCCATTTTATATTCTGAAAATAATGTATGAGAAATCCACCTGCTCCATATACTCAGCAGAACATGGTATTTCTACCAGTTTTTGAAGGCATTCTAATAGGTATTTAATGGCATTTCACAGTGGTTTAAATTTACATTTCCTTAAAGCATAATAATGTTTAACATTTTTTCATCTGCTCATTTGGCATCCATATGCTGTATTTGGTAAAGCATGTGCTTAAATCTTATGCCATTTTCTATTTGTACTCTTTGTTTTTTACTGTTGAGTTTAGAGTTCGTTTTTTATTTAGAAAACAATTCATGTGTCAGATATGTGACTTGTAAATATTTTCTCTCAATGTGTAGATTGCCATTTTCTTTTTATCTATGTATTTCACATACCAAAAGGTTTTAATTCTGATTAAGCCTAATATAGAGATGTGTTCTTTTATGGATCTAAATTTAGATGTAAGCACTTTTCACACTGGAAGGGAGAGGCATGCCATGGAGTTGGATTAAATCTGTAGTCACAGTTGAACATTGTGGCAGTATGTATTTATTGGAGGGGACTTTTTAAAAGTTTAGTAATTCCCGAAATGCTTAGGTTCAATGAGAATTCTCCTGTATCATGGGATAAACCATGATACAGTTTTGAGGTAGTACCTCAAACCACAGGTGCTTGCCAGTATCATGTCAGGGGAGCAGATGAAAATTGGTTTGCTTAAAACTGCATTATTCCAGAGGCTATAAGGACAATCTAAAGGCTCTTTATGGGTAAGAACTGATATTTTGTTATTGTTTTAATAAAATATAAAGAACAGACTAAATATAGAGTATATCAAAAGGGATCACACACAGGAAAGTGTAACAATGTTTTGTGTACAAAGCCTCTGAGAAGATGTTTTGGGTATAGATATCATCCCTCTTTTTGTTCCTTTCTTTCTCCCTCTGATCATTCTTTCCATCTTTCTTTTTTCATTACTTTTCATGAAACTTTGAAATACACATATATGCAAACACAATTATTCTTGATAGATCTTCCACACATATACATGTACATGTAATATTCTTATTATAAGTGATAGTAAAAAGAAAAATCACTACCCTGAACCATGCATGTTAAATAATGACAAAAATTTGGGACCTCACAAAATCTGGCTTATCAAATTTTCCATGAGTTAAGTACACCTTAAAGAACAGAAGGTCTTCCTGAGGCTAATTCTAGCTGGTAAATGAAAGGAATTGATGAGCACGTTTTGTCTCTAACAGCATACTCCCTGTCTTTGGGTCCCAGCATTGATGCTGCAACTTCTGCATTATGCCAAACTCTGACTCATATTTTTATAAGGGCTAGACAAAAATCCTAGAACATTAAGGTAGGTAGGCAATATTACCACAGAGCTTTAAATTGGAGACACAATTCCAAATACAAACTATCATGAGACAGTAGAACATAGGGTGTATCTGCCTCTTCTGTCAGCCCAGAAGGACTATAGGCTGCTCTGTGCTTTTCCTTCCTTCCTTTCTCCCATCTTTCTTTTTTTCAATATTTTTCAAATGTTGGTCTTTTTAATAGTTTCAGAACCTAAGATTATGAATGATGGTTATACATTTACTACTTTCTATCAGACTTAATAGTAGAAATTTGGGTATTCTGTATAATAGTGAATCCTATGTTATTTTTCAGTCTGTAACAGCATAAGGTAGCATTGCAATCAATACATGTTTCTTCAAAATATTGAAAGAA